GAAGCTCATGCCAGGCTGGCAGGTCAATCAACAGATCAAGTGCATGAACATTGTTGACTATGCCACTAGTTTCCAGGTGATGATTCCCTTTTATGAGAAAGAAACTTCCTCGGTTCTCAAGAAACTGTTTTTGGAACATTGGCACAGGTGGGCAGGACCTCCGGTCGAAGTGATCGTGGACCCGGCAAAGACCAACACGGCCGAAGCAGTGTTTCAACAGTTGGAGCATGAGGGTACTCGCATAATCACCAGTGCAGCAGAGGCACATAACCAATTAGGAAAAGTGGAGAAGCATGGTCATTTGTTCGAGGTCATTCTACAGAAAGTATTAGACCAGGTTCAGCCTAGAAACAAAGAAGAGTATGAACAATGCCTAGTACAGACAAGCAGTGCCAAGAACGAGCTGCTCAACCAGAAGGGACTTTCGCCCTGCCAATTGGTGTTTGGGAGAAATCCTCGTCGTTCACAGGCACGCACAGCATTGATCATGTCTCAAGACGACACCAGTCTTCGAACTGCCCTGAATGCTAGACCACGTGCAGAGCGAGAATTCCTGCCAGGTGATTACGTATCCTACTGGAGGACCCAAAAGTATGAAAAGGGAGTTAGACTGGTAGGAGGCAGATGGTATGGGGTTGCAATAGTGATGGATAGGATTGGCAGAAACTTTCTCATTTACCACAGGAAGAACTTGTTCAAGGTTGCACCGGAACATCTCCGTCATGCCACTCAAGAAGAACGTGTTCTAGCCCAGTCAGATGGAAGAGAAATGCTAGGTCTCTCGAGCCTGATGAATGAAGCTAGTTGCAAGCAGCTCGGAACACAGTTCGTAGACCTGACGGGAACGCCGACCCCAGAACAGAGCAGACAACCACCGGAATCTGTCGAGGACTTTTGGTTGCAGAAAGGTGACCTGTTGATTCGTGTCCATCGTCAAGAACGTACACATTGTTTTTGGCCGTCAAGTGATGACTCTTGTTTGCAAGGCATGTCTTTAGAAAATTGGCGCAAAACAATTCGTTCGGACACCAAAGAATGTGTGACTCATCAGCCATTGTCAGATCCAAGCAGCCAAGAAGCAAAATGTTGGGATACTGTCTGGAAGGGAGAAAGCCAGTTCAAGATTCGTCCCAAACGATCAAACGAGACAAGACCAGTCCTCAAAGACAGTTCATTGGTGATCGCGGGTTCCACTGGCACGGAGGCCCAACCAGAGGCCGCAACCGGAGCAGAAGTCTCTCCTCCGGCCGTTAGTTCAGTGAAGCCAGAGCCATACGCTAGCCCTTCCGAACCTTCCGACAACCGTGAACAAGATGTAGGCTATGGTCCAGTTCGTGTGAGACAGCGTCACAAGAGTCCACCTACCTTTTGGCTTCGACCTCCTGAAACAAAGATTGATGATTTGCAAGACATGCTGGAAGAAAACCATGGCACGAAACGCAGTCACTCTCCCAGCGATGCAGATAGGAACACGAAGAGCCAGAGGGTGGAAGAGGATCCTGCAGATAGCTGTCTGTTCGCAGAACTGGTGAAGGAGCATGGACCAGCCGAGTCATTCCAGATCCTGGTAGCAAGTTTTCTGCAGAAGAAGATGCAGAAGGAATTGCATCACTCGAACAACACAGCCGAATTACAAGAACAAATTGATCTGTCCAAGACAGTCGAATGGACCACGCTCCGAGATGAGAAGAAGGCCTTGAAAGTCATTCCTCCTGCCGAAGCTCAACGGATCCGAACTCACCGACCCCATCGGATCATGACTAGCCGGTTCGTGATTGTAGAGAAACATGAAGATGGAAACAGCAAGATCAAATCACGTTGGTGTTTGAGAGGGCACCATGACCCGGATTTGTTTCAGAAAGTTCTAGCCGGCAAATGTCACTCTCCCACGCTGTCCCAATTTGGTACAAATGATTGTAAGCCATCGATGGAGAATGTGTCTCGGAGACATAAAAGGGGCATTTCTAGAGGCAGATGTGAGGCAGAAAGCGCTCGAGAATCCAGTTTTTGCTGAACTCCCCCCTGGGGGGGTACCAGGAGTAGAGCCAGGGTCTCTAGTCCAAGTGTTGGGGAACATCTACGGAGCGAATGATGCTCCACATGAGTGGTACTGTGAGTTCGACAAACAGGCCTTGACAGCCGGATTCGTTAAGAGCAAATTCGATAGTTGCCTGTATTTGTGTTTCGGAGACGACGGTGGGCTCGAGGGCATTTTGGGAGCACACGTGGATGACACCATCACCGGAGGACATGGTCCCAAATACGATCGTGCCATTGAACAGTTGAAGAAACGTTTTCCTTTCAGGAAGTGGAGGTCAGGCACCGGAGAGTTCCTGGGCACAATATACACACAAGATGAAAACACTTTCGAGATCACATACCAACAAAAGGAGTACGCAGAACATATACAGCCGATCAGAATTTCAAAGCATAGAGCGAAGAAACACTGGCTTGAAGCGAATGCCCAAGAGATTGCCGCATTGAGAGCAGTCAATGGTGCTTTGAGTTGGCTGAGCACTCAGTCGAGACCTGACCTAGCGGTTCAAACTTCGATGAGCCAGCAGTGTTTTCCTCGGCCAACAATTTCTGATCTTCTCCAAGCCAATCAGGCGGTGAGACGGGCGCGACAGCAATCAGACCTGACCATTCGAGTTCCTTACATTCCGTTGGCAGAACTGACGACGTGTTTTTGGTCAGATGCTGCTTTCGCAAATTCCTCAGAGTTGAAAACACAAGGAGGATGGATTGTTGCCTTCACCTCGGACAAGATGCGTCAGGGCGCTGATGTGCCAATCCACTGTTTCTCCTGGAAGTCATATCGTCTTCCGAGAGTGGTTTCATCTACCATGGGAGGTGAAAGCCAGTCGTTCTCGACCGCAGCCGGAGTTTGTGAGTGGGTTATGTTGATGCTAGCAGAGTGTTTAGACGGACCATTCCTTTTGGAACATGCCGATGAAGGAGTCACCTCTAGGAGTCACCGACTGCAGATCTCTTTACGACCATTTGACATCATTAGGGAGTGGTAAGCGAACAGCCATAGATATAGCCATCATCAAACAGTCCATTCAGAGGACTGGGCTGGAGCCTCGGTGGTGTCCGACAGGACATATGGTAGCTGATGCCCTAACCAAGGACAAAGCAGAACCAATGTACTTGCTCAGATCCTGCTGCAGGAATGCCAGATACCAGCTGGCAGACGAGCAGGTGGTTCTTGATAGGAAAAAGGCAGAGAAGGAACGTCGCAAGAGAGTTGCACAGTCACGAGCAGCCAGAGCCATCAATCCGAATGAATCTGTTGGGAATTGATTCACAGACGCCAGAAAAATTAGTAGCCCATGCAAGTTTTGTTTTAAGCAATCAGCGCTTCGCCTTTTCATGTGTCGAGTCGGTGGCAACCTCGTCGTTCGTTCGTTCGTGCAGTGAATGGGTCAGTGCATAACTAAGTGAGGCATGTCTCCATTCCGACTTGAGTTGAAAATCAACGCACATGAATGTTAATGTCCGTAATTTTGCCTTCAGAGTTTCGTCATGAAAATATGTGAGACAAGAGTTCGAAACCTCGTTTGCATTTGCAGCACACTTCAAGTGATCTCAAGCGTGCAAAGATTGTCCAGCAAGACCTTTGAGAGACCATGGCACCTAAGGCAGCCCCCAAGACGGTTCCAGTGACCGAGGCCGAGTTGACAGCAGCTCGAGAGATTTTGCTGCGAGCTCAACATGCTGGAGTCCAGAAGTCAGAAGAGAGCTCAGCTGGATATGGATCGATGTCCGATGCGAGCAAGCGCCAGCGCGGGCCAGAAGACTGGGAGCTGGAAGAATGGGAGGCAATCGCATATCAGGAACAGCAGAAAGCGCTACATGATGAGCGATTGCAGGCAGGTGGCGCTTCGAGTCAGATGCCGGTCTTGCCGGCAGGTCCAGGTGTCCTGATCACCTATCCTCCCGGCATCTCCAGCCTGGAGGACTGGGGCACAACGATCTGCCGCCTTCCCAAGGTTTCGAAGATGGATGTTTCGTATGCTAAGATGACAAAGGATTCGAGCCTTGAGAAGTACCTAGTGTGGGTCGAGCAGCACGGGACTGGCAAGGGCGGTCGCTTCGAAGACCTATGTGCCTACCTGAAAGCAATCGACTACACGGCAAGCAAGAAGCTTGGTTCCAGTTCGAAATGCACGTACCCCGGAGGTACTGAGATCCGTGAAAAGAAGAAGTGAACAGAGGTTCACCAGTGTGCTTGATTCGTGTTTGCACCTAGATGCTGTCTCAGTTTTGGGAGACCGGATGTCTTCCCATGCTTTCGATGATCCAGTTTCGTTCAACTTAAATAGATAGATAAATAGGAATGTTAAAGCAGTGTCAGTGCAAGCCGATCGCAGCAAGCAGTTTCGTACGTACCGAAGGCACCTCGTTTGCTCAGGCGGAAGCAAAAGGACACGAGCGGCCGACGGGTAGGGTTAGGTAACCTGTTGTCGGGTTTAGGGACCCGTGTTTCGATACTAGTATACAGTACATTAAACTCACCCCTGACCTTGGGTATAGTTTTGTAAACTGTATTTCGGGGCGTCAGACATGCGTTTTCTTTACGGTAAATTGGGTGGTGTTCTAAATAGGTGCTCGGGATTACTGAAAGGAAAGATCCTTTCTGCGAGCAATGTGCATCCGCTAGGACGTCCTTGCTCCAGATGTACTGAGGTGGTGCACATTGCAACTTCCTCTTCAATTTTTTTGTTCAGTCCCCTTCACTCTACGTCACTATGGCTTTACACTGTACACTATACCTATAAGCGCTCCATTGACTTCTAATGGGCGCGGCGCGACCCCTTGAAAGTTGACAAACATCATGCAAGTCACACGCTCACTGTCAATTGTTCGCTTTGTTTGTGCATAAGAAGGCACAACGTTGCACACTTGTTTACTCACTTCCAAGTATACACTTAGCCCATACTTGTAGTGGCACAGGCCACTGGTCTGAGTGTTTGCTCGTTGCCGGAACAGCGAAGGTGTTGGTGCTTTTTGCGGTCTATTTGGCAGCACCAGGGGCGGCCTGGAGGAGACCAGGCAGCAACCAGTGTAAGACCACTTGCAATATGTTTTGTAGTTTCGACTTTCGAACTAGTAACAAGTGCCACGCTAGTAGCAACAAGTGCCTTACTAGTAGTAACAAAGAAGCTATTAGAATTAAAATTCAACGAAATTAAATTAACTACTAGCTTCTTGTTACTACTAGTAAGGCACTTGTTACTAGTAGCGATGCACTTGTTACTAGTATGTGCAGGAAATATGTTCGTTCCATTTTGGTGTCATGGTTTCTCGTGTCTCATGCTTGAATGTTTCTGTGGCCTGTGTGGTCAAATACAGTTCTTCCAAGCTGTGCTCCGCCACATTTTCATCACTGATGGGTCAAGAAACTCGAATTTCCTGGTCCGGGAAAACATATTGCGGCTAATACATTACAACAATTACAATATATTACAGCAATACATTTTTTCCTGAATGCAAGTCAAATCGAGACACACGGTTCAGCAAGAAACCATTGCCAAACAGCCTGTCTTGGACCTTGCTGTGCCGGTTCAGCTGGGCCAATTTCTACTAATGTTGCGGCGCCGCCAAGTATCTGAAAGTCGTACATTTGATGTTTTGTGAAAGCTGGGAGCCTCCGTCGGGTGCCCGGCACGTCAGGCAACCAGCCTTCAACTACCCAGAAGAAGAGGAAGGCAAGGAGAACCTTTTAGTAACTCACTAGCTTGAACTGTTGATAACTGTTGTATATGCAACCAAGAAAAGAGATAAACATAGTATAACGGTGAGAGTAGTATGAACTGAAGAGTCTAAGAGTCTAGTTGAAGGCCATGATAGCAGTAGGCAAGACTAACAGGTGACATTGAGATGAGGCTGGAGTAAATCTTGCACGAACATATTGAATTTCCTGGCCAATCCTGTGTCATTTTCAGACATCTTAAGTGAACACTGAAAGCATTATGATAAATTGTGAATTGCAATTAAGTTGCCCGGGCTAGACGGTTGTGGAAGCGTGTGCGAGTGCCAAGGTTGACTGGGTGACTTACTGTAACCCATGTTTCACCCGTCCTCAGATGTGAATTGTTTTCCAATTCTAGCATTGACATTGTATATATATAATACATAATGCATCATATATAATATCTAATAGATATAATATATATAACATCATATGAGCTAGAGGCGAAACAGTTCATGTATATAAGTGTTTGATCTTCGAGGTTCCACTTTATGATGTGAGTTGCCTATGCCCTGTAAAACGATATAGCGAACTATATGATGTGAGTGTCTCCAAACCCTGTAAAACGATATAGCGAACTACCAAAAACGATACTCTGAACTATCAGACCTTGTTCCATTGTTACTGTTCATTTTCTTTGTTTGAGTTGGGTTATCTTCTAGGCTTTCAAAAGAACAATGGCACTCATCCGGGTGTCTTTTGGCAGGACTCATCCATGTTCCATTCCTTTTGGCCACAAATGTCCGACCTTGCTCCTTCGGGGCCTGATGGGCCTTGCCGAATCGGCGCCTGTGGCGAGCGCATGAAAGCACCTCTCTACTGTGCAAAGTACCGAGTCTGGTGCAGCTACTGTGTGCCTTGGTCATCATCATGCCAATTTTTTTGGTCATTATGTAGGGCTGTGAGGGGATGGCGCCCTTTCACCAAAGCAAGCTTAAGCAAGCCAGGCCTTGGAAACCTTCACTTTGTCGGGCTCTGCGCGGGCTTCGCACCACGTTGCTTGTTACCATGGTGGCCAGTGGCAATGGACGTCATGCTTGAGCAAAAGCATGAAAAAGGTATCCCGTCGTGGTAAGTGGTTTGTTTGTTAATTTGGGAGTAGATCCCATGAGTATTGTAAGTCAAATGTTTCCTATTCAGGTTGGGCTGAGCGGACAAGAGGCGACGCCAGCTGCTAGTGAATCCACTGGTAAGCCTGTTGCTCCAGAAGGGCCAGCCGGGAACCAGGAGCAGGCGACATACGGCCTTCCACCGAAAAACATAGAGGGTAACATGCGTAGCGCTTTTAATACCTGTTCTAGACATCGTGCGGGGGTGACTTCCCTGAGGTGGCAAACTGAAGTACGCGCTGAAGAGTGCAAAGTCCACGTTTCCGCTGCTGAGCCACTAACTACCCCAAAGCGGCAACGCAAGGAGGCCAAGGACGAGAGCCCGCTTGTGCCATGCAAACGCATTAGGTGCAAAACCACTCCGGCTGAGCCAGAGCACGACGAGGCCAACACAGCAGGAGAAGCGGCTTGTAGCACCTTGAGTGCAGAGTTGCGCGCAAAGGTAGAGAAGGCTGTCGCCGTGTTTGGTGCCGGTGAACAAGGCAACTGTTTGAAGAAGAAGTACTCTCCCTCGGAAGTGCCTAAGTGTGAAATTTGCATGGCCAAACGCCATGAAGTGAAGTGGCAAGTTCGCGTGACAGGCAATGGCAAAACCAAAGCCAGTGGTTCTCAATGCTACGGCTGCTACAGGGCCTCAGTGAAACTGCAGTGCCCACGCAGCAGGGTTGTTTGCCAAGCTTCACATGGCAATTGTAGAAGCGTATGAGTGGCACATGGCTGCTGCTCAGCTTGAACAGGACAATATGTGAGGATTGGTTGAGGACTTGCCTGCCAATTGTGCATACTGTCACAGCGACTTCGTGGAAAAACTCCCCATTCCATTAGCAGGCTCTGAGACAAGCCCAAAGGAAGACTCTTTCTGTCTTCACAATGTTTTGCGCGCAACGAAATGCCACTGGAAAGAGGAGTGTGTTGGCCATTGTCTTGTTGAGTGAAATCATAGAGCTGAGCGCATTGTATGGGAGCCTGTGCGTCAAAAAAGCCCTAGAACACGTGGACAATGTGGGACGGTTGGATACACTGACTTTGGGGTTTGATGCTGGGAACCATTTCCGCAGCTATGAGAACTTGTTCCATTTCCTCTATGACATTCCGAAACAGTCTGGGCAACAAGTGCGCCTCAACTTTCTTGTTGAGAAACATGGAAAAGCAATGTGCGACTCCGAGGTTTTCAGCCCTGTCAGGCGCTGGTTGGACGAATGGCTGCTCAATCCCAATAGCTTTGCTGACTCTGAAGAAGCTGTGGCCGAAGTGCTGCGGCGACATGCAAAGCGTGAGATGCAACAGAAAACCCAGGTGGGACACGGTTCATCATAGAGATTTTCAACCCTGGCAAGAAGCCCAGCCACACAAATGCATTGAGCATGGATGAGGATTTGGTGACCAGGTCATATTCATGGTTGGCCACACCTGCAAGGCATGGGAGCTTGCCTGTGCGAATCGACAACTGCTTGTTTTCACACAGTGGACCCAAGACACGGTCACGGGTATCCTACCAAGTCTTGCGCAAGCCCATGCCGCCTGAGCGCTTGACGTGGAAAACAGGGTATTGGCAAGACCCCACTTGGCAAAAGGGGCCAATCAATCCTGGAGAAGAGAATGAGTTGATGCGAAAACACCGCGCTCAGCTGGCACTTTGGAGAGGGCAGGCTCTACCCAAGAAGCGAAAGCTGAATTTTGAAGAGTTGTGTGAAAGAGATGAAAAACGCCTGGCGAAGGCGAGGGAACAATCACAAAGGAAACGAGATGCAGTAAGCCAGCGTAACCAGATCTCAGACAGCGAAGACTCGCTCTAAAAAGGTGTGCTGCATGTGGCTTTGGGTGGGGGGTGATCAGATGTGTTTGGCAGCTGGTTAAAGAGGTAGGGTTATCTCTAATATGTATGCATGTTGACAACTGCAGCTGCTAGACTCAGCTTGTGGTTGTGACAGAACCCTCACACGCATGTGCGAAGTCAAAAAGGATTATACCAAACCCTGTAAAACGATATGGTGAACTACCAAAATCGATAACCTTGTCAAAGTGGAACCCAGTTTGCTGGGAGGTTTTGCCGGTCGCTCATACATAATATCATATATATATAATATCATTATATCATATATATATATATCAACAGTTATACATGTAAACACACACACACACACATTACTCTGTACATACTATTTTGGGTTTCCTGGTTGTTTAGAAAAAACACCGTAAAGTCCAAGAACGTTTCTTCGGAGCCAGGTACAGCCTGCATGTCAGATCCTGATGCTGAAGCAAGGCGGCAAACTAATGAAGCAGCTGAATGAGGCAAGATGCAGTCGGACGGATCCCACAAGGTTGTGAGGTTCGACGCGTGTTGGAGATGCCTGCATTCATTGCGGTTTGGGGCACAAAAGCTAGGCTCTAGGCTTGGAACGCTCGGGCACGGTCTTAGGACGAGTTTGAGATGTCTCATGTGCCCCTCACCCAGTGGCAATAGCTGATTGGCGCTCATGGTAGCGCGATCATGCTCGCAGTTTCCTTTGGGAACTGTCACTGGTGTCCAAACACTTTGTAGTTTAAACATGATATTTATATAATATATAATGAGAATGGCATGGCTCTACTGAGTTGGGTTTCTTTGGGCTCGCAGATACATTTGGGACTGCAACTGCCCGGGATAAGAAAGACTCAGGAAACCGTGGTTGTTTGCAGGCTAGTAACAATGTTGATGAATTTGGCTTAAAGGTTGGCAAAGATTCATCAGAACACGATGTCCTTCTGGCTCCAGGATTTTGCGACAAATCCTGAAGCTGCAGGCAGCTGAGTTAAACCGTTTTTATCATTGCCCAGTAAACGTTTCCAAATGAGTTATTATTCCTGGCGCGATCATAAAAGGCTATAATGTATTAATGTATATAAAATAACAACTAAAGTTAACTAAAGTTATCAAAACCAAGTTTCCCAAACCAAGGCTTGACCACACAGTTTTGCCTGAGTGTGAAAATAACACCGACTAAATTGCAACACCTAACGGCAAAAAGAAAACTAAGTTGAACCAAACTGAAGTACCAGCTCTGAGTTGGTCAAGAAATACATGCTGTTCGCATTGAGTTCCAAGTCCTGAAAGGGCAGCAAAATCTGCAACAGTATTGTCGGAGAGGAGGGCCACGCCATTCGTATTTGTTCTTCAAGTAAAAGAGGCGATAGCTTCTGAGCCTGCAGGGGAAGGAGGCCAGGCTTGTTGGGAAGCAAGGAGCTTAAGCCTGATAAACAAAACTTTCTTGTGGGACCGGACACTGCCTCGACATCGGCTTCCCAAACCTTTGGGGAGAAATCACCGTCTCTTGGACATCATACTTAGTCGAAAACTCTTGCTTGATATAGTCTCCGGGGAAGCCGCAAACGGTTTCATGAAGAAACCAGGCTAACCTCAAAGCAGGTATGTCAAAAGATGAAAGCTCTTTGTCAGGAAAACTGTCTACAAGCAATCAAAACTTTGTTCAGAATGCACAATGCGAGGTAACAGTTGGTTCTTCTTGTCCTCCATCCGAACGTCGTGCGCGATGCGCTTTTGCTCATTCTGGAGGCCCTCGTTTTTATCCATCCTGACAAGTGAGTGTGGTAAGCAACTTCCACAGCAAATGAACAAAATACTTTTTCCACAAAAGAAAGGAACAGTAAAAACTGATTGTTCAATTCATGGGACCCTGACTCGTATGTGGTCTGCTGATACCCGTTGAGTATACCACTATAAAAGGATGATCCTCTTCCTTTATTAAATGCAGTTTCCAAACCCCATTTTACAAACCTAATAGTGGGTATACTCAAACATTTATATAGTGTTGGATGATCATTTTAGCAACAACATCAAGTTTGTGCTTGGTGATGTGGAACATTTCAATTAGATGGAAAGACGAGACCATCATTTTATAAACAGAGCGGCCTCGTGCTGGAGATTGTCAACAAACAGAAGGAACACCTCTGTAAAATGCTTGTTTGCTTAGGCCTTTGCCAGTTTTTAGCCATAGATCCAGTAAAAGTCAGTTTATAGACCCCTTGGAAACAAACTCGAAAGCAAACAAACACCACCCCCCTAACTACAGTAGCCCAGCAGTCAAACCAGCAAACCCCCAACCCTGATCCTGATCAACCAGGAAGATCTCTATCTATTCAGTTGAGCCCCTAGTAGCGTCCTTGTTACTGGTAGTAAGGCCAGGAGCCCCTAGTAGCTTCTTGCTCCTAGTAGCGATGCCAGGAGCCCCTAGTAGCGTCCTTGCCAGTGCCAGCCCTGGAGGCAACAAAAAACATGTTAAGTTATAAGCATATATAGAGGCACCCACTGGGAAAACAATCCGAAAAACCAAAACCATGTTCGCGCTGTTTGTGGCATGTTGAGGGAACCTGTACCTGTCATTTTATAAAACGACAACCATGTTGAAGAAAATTTCCAGACGCATAATCATTAATAATAATCATTGTATGAACGTATTGATTTGTCATTTTGTAGTGATTGCATGTTGTTCCACCATTCTAAACACAGGCTCTTTTATAAAAAGGAACATTGCAGCCCAAGCAGGTATTAATGGGGTATATAATGTTTGCTGACTCTGCGAGGTAAAGGTTGTAGAACGCTATTCAACTATCAAGGTTTTCTTGACAATATTCGAGACAAACGTTCAAAAGGACGGTGCTGAGAATTAGAGCTTCCTCGAGCCGGGTGGAAATTCCCTCAAAAAGTACAGTAAACGTATAATAGACATATTTTGATGTGATGCCAAGGTTATCATGTGATGCCAGTTATTTTCTCTAGTTTTGTTTGCTACTCACTATATAGACACATCTCCCGAGAAGTCTTTACTCCGCAGAGCTTTGTTCCAAAGAAACTCTGTTTGGGGTTTACTTACTTTGCAGGATCCGGTGACCAATTGAAACCTTTGGATACAAGCGTCAGAGGTAGCGACATGAAACCCAAGACATGGCCCCCTAGAAATAGTGCGATGGACTTTCATTTAATGCCCGTAGCTGACTCTTTTTGTTTAAGGGACATAGTTAAACCAGTGACGCCCTTCCGGTCTGCCTTCTGGAGGCAGCCGGTTCTCGTACTTTGGTAGGGGAGCCGGTGTAGGTCCTCAGGAGGAGGACCATGGAAGGCACCATGGAGCCTTGGCGTCGAGGCTGGTGAGGAGCACCTCATTGGCATTGGGGTGGGCGTCATACTGGAAGCGGTCCTTTACGATGAAGGCGGAAATCGCCAAGGACGGGGAATCATAGAGCTCACTCATGAGGTCGAGACAAAGGCTGGCCCAGCCAAGGAGACTTTTCGGGGGACCTTTTTGGCCATTGAGGATGGATACTACAAATGGTGGGTCGGTGACCATTTTAAAGAGGAGTTGGTGACCTTTCAGCTTTGCAGCAAGCCTGCAAGTGGATGCCGAGTGGCCACACCCTATCGAGATCCCATTCACGTTGACGTCTTCCGTGTGCTTGGGGGGCATTCAGCCAGGAAGGTAGTCTGGCCGGACGAAGGTGAAAAAGAGAAGGTGTGTGAAGCCCTCACCCGATTGGACTCAGGCGCCCATGGATCCGGCCCCCTGGGTCTTCCTGGGGGGGGCGAGGCCACGGGTGCCCAGGGTTCAAAGGGTGATGAAGGCGTAAAGTCAGGAGCAGAGGGCATTGAAGGATTGGCACGTGCCCTGGGAGCTCAGACTACGGCTGAGAAGGCCAAGACAGATGAAGAACCTCCCGAAAAGCGCAGGAAGAAGGATGAGAAGGAGAAAGCTGCCGGAAGCGATAAGGATGACCTCGAGAAGACTCTCAAGGGCTGGGCGCCAGCTCCGGTAGAAGGGAGTGCCTTGAGACTGTCTGTTGACAAAAAGAAAAAGAAGAAAAAGGACAAGAAGACACACGAGTCGACCGAAAGCTCCAGTGAGAGTTCGTCAACCGATTCGCTTTTCGCTTAGCTGCCCTCCCAAAAGGGGTCGACAAGATCCATCGTTTGCACGAGCAGAAGCCAGGGCATCTGGCCAACATGACCCTAAGGAGGTTCAGCGAGCTGCTGAACCGATCGATTGGGGGGGGAAGCGGCATCATCAGGGGAGAACCTACCTCCGGAGGCAACCATCGGATTGAGGAACTTGAGGGAGCTCCGCACGCTTGCAACCATGGTGGACTTGATGGCATCGAACAACACCCTGAGAGCGTTGGACGTAGCGATCCAACGGATCAAGAGCATAGAGCTGTTCGTGGCTCAGGGAAATTGGACTCAGGGATCGCTGATCGAACTCGTCCTGCCAGAGGGAGAGCAGCGAGCTTGGTTCAGGCAAGAACTCAAGGCAGCAAAGCAGGAGAAAAAGAGCGAGACCAGGAGGTGGAGACACACCCACTCTCACCCACACTCACTCTCACTCACACCCGCACTCACTCACACTCACTCTCCCACTCTCACTCGCACACTCTCACTCTCACCCACACTCACTAACACCCACCTTCACTCTCACTCACTCTCACTCACACTCACTCTCACTCTCACTCACACCCGCACTCACTCACACTGACTCTCCCACTCTCACTCACCCTCTCACTTTCACCCACACTCACTAACACCCACCTTCACTATCACTCACGCTCACTGACACTCATACTCACACTCACTCTCACTCTCACCCACACTCACTCTCATTCAGAACGAGTGGGGAGGAGCAGCTGCGGGAGGGGGCGAAAAGAAGGAAGAAGGAGGAAAAGACGAAGCCCCCCCGCCAAATCCAGTCGGAGGTGCAAAAGGGAAGAAAGGCAAAGGAAAGGGCAAGAGGAAGTCGAAATGGTGAGTGAGGAAGATGAATCCCGCCACTTGCATTACAGGGCCTTCGACGACGCAGTATCTGCTGATACAACCAGTAAGAGGCACCGAAGACGGCTGATGAAGCTGTGTCGATGCAAGGCCATCATTGAGCTACACGAACACCTCCATGAAGCATTCGGGAAGACTGAGGACTGGAAGCAGGCAGAATTCCGATTCTTTGAGTGTCTAGTGGACTTCGTGGATGATGGCTCAACGGTAATCGTTTCCAAGATGAGGACTGAGTTGCGGTTCTTGTTCGAGGAGCAGTCGCCACAGGAGAATCTGTCTTGTAGCCGCTTCTTGGGGGCTTCACCAGGTGTTCCAGAGCTTGTCTTGGGAACAGCCTGCTCGAAGCCTCTGAGGGTGGTGAATGGGCAGTCAATTTATGAGCTTCAGGATTCATGGAACTTTGAATGAGGAGTCCTGGTAGGTGACGGGGATTCAAAACATGGAGCATCTCCAATTTGCGAGAAATATGTGAAGCTCATGGAGCCTCAGCTACTCAAAGAGGCAGTGCGTGGACAGCCTTTAGCAGCGAAGAAGAAGGATCTAGAATGGGCCGCGAACGTTTGTGAGCTTCTGGACTTGGGTGGACCAGGAGTGCACCGAATGAGCAAATGGAAGGGGTGATGCGATCACTTCTCAAAGGCGAGTTCTCGATGAGCTTCCTGGGGGTGGTGCTACGAACAGCGTTGAAGCATCGCCCAAGCCCGTTGGGGAGTTTTACAAGACTTTTCCCTTGCTGCGCCTTGAAGGCTTTTCATCGAGCCGCCGAAGTGATGCCTCTTCCTCTTCCCAGGCTCAACGAGAAGGAGCAGGAGATCCATGAAAAGCTCTCAAAGTGGTTTGAATTGGGTCGCGTGCCTGATGAGGCTTTTGGTGAAGTTGGAGACATCAAAAACGACAGCCAGGCTGTGGGAGCACAAGTGCTGGGTCTGGCTGCAAACCTTGGTCCCTTGACTCTGGAGGCCATCTTGC